TAAAAATTTGAGTATTTTTCTCATCAACCAGAGATATAAAAGCGGTAACAAAATTTGCACAATATCATAAACTTATTATAAAAAATCCAATAATTTACTGTATCAATTAATAAATAAAGTACTAAACCATGGCTGTGTAAAATGACGTGACCTGAGGAAAGATTTGTTTTATTTATTTATAGATGGACGAGCCCCTAGAATTGCCTGAATTCGAAGATTTTTCCAGATCAGGTGTTTTTTAAATGTGTTAAAGTTAACGATTTGATTATTCGAATCAAGAGTTATTTGATACCAAAAAGATCTGTCTCAAAATCGTAGCCAAAGAATAATTGGCCAAATAGGAAAAATTATAAGTCAACCCACATGCAAATTGATTGACCACAGATTCATATGGGCAAAAGATCTTTCACAGAAGTGCTTCTACAACAATGCCACCAACAATTCTGATATTGAAGTTAGGACTCAAGATCAGCAGACTCAATATTTAAACTTAGACATTTTATCGTAATCGTGATTCTATAAATAAGAGCATGAAAAATAAATGTAGAAAAATAATCTAAACAAATATCTTTGAAATATCTTGCAATATATGTTAAAACCAATTATAATAATTTTGTTTCTAGCACCGCCTTTATGAAACCATCCATTACAATATAAATTTTTCAACACATTTTTTTACATTCAAAATATTCATATAAAATAATTCCCTTCGATTTTAGATCTTGCCCAAATTTTGCAGATCTCATTTCTAAACTCTTGTTCTGTACCTTTTGTAATTACTCTGAAAATTACTAATAAATAAAAAATTACTTTTAAGAACCGTAAAATAAATATTTGCAAAAAATAATATACGTTTTTATAAATCCCTAATCTTGATGCCGATGAACTTAAAACATTACTTCAATCTATTTCCAGGTCACAACATTTTCACGGTCCTAAACTTAGTTCCCAAGTTCCCAGCTTTCGTATAAAAAAAAAAAATCAATAAATATAATAAATTTATCATATTTAATATTATCAATAGCAGGATTTAGCTGCCAAGTATCGCATTAGAGGTTTTGGAGTATCACAACCATACGAATTATTTATAAGATATTTCTGCGGGAGATTGCATAATTTCTTTATGTACAAAATTCGATTATTCGAACCAACTGCATGTTTTCAAATTAGACAAAAATATAACACTTGAATATAAAAATATATGCAAGTTTTTTATAATTGTTCAATTATATTGAGCAGGACTCGAATCATTTTTTTAAGGAATTTTAACCTACACGATACTTCGCAAGCTTTTTGGGTACTTGACAAATAGCTACAGATAATTGTGTAAACAATTATATATATATATATATATATATATATATAAATTGTTTAGACATTGTGACACAAAATATATATGTGCATACGGATAATAAACACGTTGAACATACTATTAACGATTACTTCAACAATTAAGATTAATGTGCTTTCCACATATATTTTTATATTAATTTGGTATCATTAAATATACTTTATATAGGGATATATAAATAATATTACATCCCATATTTATAGTCGTCCTAATATTGTATAACAATTCATGCAAATGCGTTGATTATATTTATATATCTGATGTTCTTAATATATTTGCATCGAGTTATACACCTACAGGCCTATTTCTAGCTACATCTATGGTCATCTAATGCCTAATATATATGTATATCTAAAACTATATTTTCCTAAATACTACATTGTTTTTTTCTTTACTTGTTGTGTAGCGCCGTTATATTAAATATATATTTGTTTACTTTCTTATTTATATAATATATAATATATTTATATGGATATCTATTTATATATGTATAGTGTCGTTCTTAATATTAAGTTTACATATACAAGAACCTCAGAAAACTCATTGTAACTAAAACAGCAACGGTAATCAGTAGTACCTTTACCTTTATTCGTCTGTTTGCTGAGGTTCTCATCCCTACTGAAGAACTACTGTGCGTGCGAAAGAGATGGCATGTGTGTGATGGGAAATGGAAGGTCATACTTTGCTCACGAATACATGATTGAGCATTTTCTATAGATTACACGGCTAATACGATACAGAATCACTTATTTTGGCTAATATTTTCACAATGGAATCAGATGACACAGGATCGAAGAATTGCTTTTTGTAAAAATCCGATAAACACAAAATTATTTAGATTCTGACTTTGGGATTTGCTGCAAAACGAGAATAGTATTAACGTTAACATAGCGTTGTTATGGCAACGCTATCTTATCATTTCTTGGTACTAAAAACTGTGACAATGCTATCTATTTGCTGGCGGATCAAGAATGTTTTACATATAAACAAACCTAGAAAGAATGCTATCCTAGCTGCATCTTTGTGATGGACCTGATCGTACCGCAAGTATATAGCATTTTCACAGTTTTCAGTACCAAGAAAGAAGGATAAGATAGTGTATCGTTCATGTTACCGCAGATTTGGTTCCTGTATTTAAGAACAAATAACAACATTAATTGCACCAATCAAAAATTGAAGCTAGACATGAAAAGTATTCTATCCATATGCTTGATTAAAAACATTCTTAGAATCTGTCTATGAAATCGTTTTCAGCTTGGTCACTATAAAATAATGCTTTTATCAAAACAACATAGTGAAAAATATTGTACAACGTTCTTGGACAACCTTACATAAAATCGTTCTTTTGAGGTGGTCACCATAAACCCCTTCATTTACAAATTATTTACAAAGTCCCGGGACATTACAAAATAGATTCTTGACGTCATCACCATTGTTTTCTCTATTATATTTTGTGGAGTCATAAATTTATAATCATTAATGCTCCAAATACCATAATGATAATTAGTAAATGCAACTTTTTGTATCTCTTTCATCCATTGTCAAAATAATAGCCAGAAATTAATCTTTTAACGCTTAAATTCAACTCAATTTGAATTTATCAAATAAATAACTGGTAACTAAGCAACAAAATACGTCAACAATATAGTTATGCATATAATTTTGCAAGTGCAATTCACGATTTACGAATTATAGTGCAATTTGATACTCTCACATTCTGCTAAGATTTATGAAAATATAAAAAAAACTTAGGCTCTCTTGTCACAACCAATTTTGTAGCGTTAATATCAAACTTAGAGTTTGATATTGAATGAAAATTATACTATAATTACTGTAATACTGCGTATTTATAAAATATATCTATAAACATAACAAATAATATATAACAAGTTCTAAGCACCCATATAAAATTTAAATCAAAAGCTCTTTTACAAATTGAGATACTTCACTGAAATCAAGATTTTCTCTATCGATGAGATTGCAAAAATATGGCTGAAGCGATTTTTTTTATCCGGGGTACAAAATAATCAATCTATGTCGATATTTAATTCGATTATATTTCATTCACGCTACATTTGAAGTGCAGACAAACAGTTTAGTATATCGAAAGTTTGTGAATGCTAAATGGTATCTGCAATCTTTAAAGAGAAGAAAAAAACGAATTAATACCGACGATGACTAGGCTTTTGCCTGGAAGCATTATGCTGATGCATATTTTTTTGAGAAAATTGCTTGGATTCAATTTGATAGAGATAGGAAAATCTTACGATGCATAAAAAACTTGGATGGTAATAGGTTTCTGCAAAATAATAATTAGGGTTGCTCAGTTTATCTAAACATTATCTAATAAATAAATCAACAAGTTTGATAAATAAAGTAGAAAATAATATCAATCGTCAAGTCAACTCTGATTATAAGATATACATGAGAGGAAAGTAGCCAAATATTACTCTGCCAAATTTGGAATAGATTTCCCGTGTCAAAATTTCTAATCTGTTTTATTTTCTTCCGCCAAAAATTATATTCGATAATGCCTTGATTAATTTTACCAGACTGATTATTCGTTTTCCACTTTATTTGTGTGTCAACGGTAATCAATAGTAAATCTTATTTAATAAATTTATATAATAAATGTTATAAGAATTATGTAAAATTTTTGAATGTTTAATTATTTTTATAAAAATTGATTCCGAAAACAAAAAATTATATAAGAGTAAATTTGACAAAAGTGTGTAGTATATAATGAAGTTTTTATAAAGTAAATAAATTATATCAGTTAAAATTTTCTTTATAATGTAAATGGTTTTGATTTATTTGCAATTATTCGGCTACTTTCAATAATAAAAATTAATATCACACCTAGACTCGAAAAGTTCTAAAAAATATCTTAAAATTTTGTTTGAAAGGTCCTAAAGACCCTGGAAAGGTCTAAAAAGATATAATTAATTTTTCCAAAAACTTGGAGTATTTTTTATAGTGAATACTTTCATGTGTTTTATATGTAAATTTTAAGTAAATTAAACTGTTTGAAAGCTCCTAAAGACCTTCGGAAGGTCTAAAAAGATATAAATAATTATTTTAAAAACATTTTGCACGTTTTCAATTTGGAATGATATTTTTTAGAGTGAATACGTTCATGTATTGCATATGTTCTTTTTAAGTATTAAAAATAAAATTGATAACCAAAATCAGCTATTTTGGAGCCATTCTTAAAATATAAAATTTTAGTATGAATTTTTTGCATATTGCATTCGTAAATAATATCATGTTAGTCAAACTAAAGTACTCATAATTTAACATATAGAGCAAAATAATGCTTCATCCCTATATTTATAATATTTGATAAATAAGAAACCAAAACTGGAACGCAAATCAATATTTGGATACTTTCTCTATAACATTCATGCGCACGTTACACACACAATTTACTCACTAATCTGATTCATATCATATTATAATATATTTTATACCTACATATCGATAATAAATTAATATCTAGTCACAATATATATGTAACATACGAAAATACTGCGTGCCAAAGGCGTGTGGATCATAATAATGGACCGCATATGTTTTGTATTTGAATAAATTTCTTGGTCGAACATTACATTCTCACATCGGATAATAACAATTGAAATTAACCATATCATTTTATCATCATTGTTATTATTATTATTATTATTATTATTACTGCCAATATAATGGACTCACGGGCAGGTGATAGAGAGAGCACGCGCACGTTCTTTCTTATACCAGTAGACTGGGTGTTAACCATTCGTCATCGGACAACTGCGAAAGGACAAAAATACAACCGTATATTATCGGAAAAATCTAATTATATCAAAAACAAACATACAGACAACATCAGCTTTCAAAATTTAGATGACACTCTAGAAAATGCAGAGATGTTTTTAGGCGACAAAACAAAATCTACTTGTGAATGTCTGTACAAGAACAACGAGTTAATTGGTGCACGTCTAAGCGGTTGCATAACATAATTTTAATATCGGAGTGAATTTTCCTTAATTCACAGTCAAAATTAGCAATGTCTTGGTAAAAAACACAGAAAAAACAACCAAGTACTTAATTACCAGTACCCCGCACCAAAGAATTTTTCCAACATTGCTTATTTTTATGACATCAAGTGTTTCAGTGTTAGAGTAATCGATTCTCGTGCAAATGGATTGGAACAAAAACAAATTTTAGTTGTGATAAATTTGAAAAAAAATAGCAGTTGCAATTTAAAATTAATTTGACACTTGGAACGTTATGACGAATGATAAATCCATGCAAAAGAAGGTAAAGCACTTTTCCGTTAGAAACAATTATGATTTAAGTGAGACATACATAAGCGGTTTATACGTATATTAACAAGGAGACTTCCATTAAAAAATAATTATAAAAAAGTATTTTACTGTTAGTTTTTCAGGACAGCTATTATAATTCACCATTTTAATTTTCTGGACTCAAAGCCAATTTTCTCCTCAAAAATTTCATATTTAGGGGGCTAATTCTCCGATAAAATAGAAATGTTATGGTAATTCTATGTTACGGGTCTATCTTTGTATGAGTCGGTAGTAGCAAAATTGTTGATCAGTCGTTTTACACATAAAACCTAACTTCACGTATGTGTTATCAATGAGCTATCAGAAAGATGCATATATGATATAATTGATATTTGACGTTCCTTTGTAGGTTATGTTTTATGTGTAAATTTTCTGATCGCACTGCAAACACTTTACAATGACAATTCGTGACTACCAATTCATACGAAGATATACCCGCAACATAGAGTTATCATAACATTTCTATTTTGTTGGAGAACTGGCTCCTTAACTTTACCTTTTGAGAAATTTGAAACTACTTTTCCTTTAAATCAAATTGCACATTCACCAAAAATTATAAATGAATATACATCAAACCATTGATGTTCAAATGCCCCTCAATGTAAGTCCATATGATGATGATTCTCCTTTTTGAGGAAAAAGAAGACTTCCAGTTCCAAAAATTGAAACCACAAAAAATATATTACATATATACGTGACAATTGAGAATAATAAAATTAGTTTAAACCTTGTTTTGAATATTATGTGTGTGGAATGTTTATTAGTATTATTAGTTCTACTAATATAATAATAAATGCAAAGGACTTGGTAAAAAGCTTAGAAGTATCAAATTGCATCAAATGAATTTTTTAATGTTAACATGTTTTTGTGCTTACAAAATACGCAAATGCAACTTTCAATTTAATAAAAACTAAATATTATAATTGTCATGTTTTAATGTTTAGGCTCTCAGAATTTACTATTACCAACTATTTATATGGATGGACTTTCATAATATTAATCAGCAAATTAAAAATATATTTTTAAACTTTTGGCACGTTAGCAATGTTTCGAACAGATAATAGTTTCGTCCAGCAAAACGAGAAATTTTCCTAATTTGTAACAAATTAACAAATCAAACATTGCACTTGATATTAAAATCTTGGAGCACATGCATGAACCATGTGTAAAAATATTTTTTTTATTACAAAATTGACATGACTCTTTGGTTAAAGGAAATATTCTTATCCAATATATTACACCACATAGCCCACACATTTGTGCTCGAGTAAAGAAATTTTTCATAAATAATTCATAAGAATTACGATCTATATAAACGCTTCTAATACATATTTCAACAGATTTTCGATAACTTTTCATTTTGGTATATAAACTATATATATATTTATGCTCATTCATAATATCTTTATACAAAAATAACACTGAAATATATTCTGGTTTAACAATTGGCGATGTACGGGTAACTTTCAACGATGGAAATGGATTTACATTTTTGGCCAAAGCCAAATTTATGGCCAAAAGCGACTACGACATGGAAACTGCACACTCGTTTAGTTTTTGCGGAAAAGATATCGGTATCAAAATAAGGCGCTTCATTCATTGTGCCTGGAATCAAAAGTAACGGAAATAAAATTAAATAACCATGGAATAATTCAAAATTATCATGGTAATCGATATTCGAATGAAACTTTACAAAAAATCGTTAAACAGAAATCTGAAATTTTGTTTAAACTAGGTGCGTTCGAAAACAAACTATACCTGCAAAATTACACGTGCAATAGTGCTTCAGAAATTTTGATGTAAAAATTCATAATTTTTTTTAGATTGTTAGATTTCAGTATTGTACATAATTGCTTATTGCTTATTGCAACTTGCTTATTGACCAAATATATTCAACAATTTTTAACTAGAAAAAATATTTTCAATATATTGACTGTAGAACCAAATTACGACACCTAAGAAAAAAGCAGTATTTATCCTCAAAAGGCTATTTTACGGTTCATGATTTTTTCAATAGCATTTAAAACCCGCAAAACGCATTATTAAATCTTAAAACCGATATTCTGACTAGAAAATATAATTTTCCACTAGATATTTCTATTTTCTAGTTTATTACCGAACGAACCATGTGTAATTGTTATTTTACATTTTATATTGTAGCAGATAAAATTTATCAAAAATACTTAGTAGAAAAATGTATATTTGAACATGCAAAATGTTTATAAAAGTTATTTAAAATATTCATGCAGAAAATAGGTCATGCCAGAAAATGTATTTTGAAAATGTTTAAAGTTTTAACTAAATACTAGAGTAATGAATCCTAATTTTGATACTGATACCTTAATAATAATATTCATTTGCATTTATATAATAACTAATTATGATTTATTTTTGTTTGTAATTGTGCAATTATTTGTATTTTTTGCAAGTACAATAATTATATTTTTTTAAGTATCTCAATTCTTTCAGTTTTTAACTGTAATCAAGACAGTCCTATATATTTTGCTACTTTTCGTAATTTTATAATGTTCTATATCAAAACGTGTCATTACATTATTTTACAAATTTTAGACTGTTTTCTTAAATTTAAATTAAATTGTATCAATTAAACAAAATATTGTATAAATGCAAGTGAATTTAGTATCTGATATTTTAACTTCGTATGTTTTATATAAACGAGTGAGCCTGTACCAATATTTAAATCACTTTATGTTTGTAAAATCCATATCGAGTATTTTTAATAATTGTTTTTTATCAGAAAAGTTTAAAATAATTTCCTAAGTAAAAAATACTCCTTCCATAAATAAGAAAACTTTGAGATTTCGTTCGGGTTAATTCAATTCGTCGGAAATAAATCGACGTGCAAAAGTTATTCTCAAAATCATTTGTTAAAAGTTCCATTCCGCTTTCCAAAATGTTTCGATATTAATTAGTAGCATCATCAATAATTTCTAATTCGAAAGAACTTTCGAAAATGTAATAAATATTCCAGTCACTCTGAGTAGACCATTAGCGAATAGTTGGGTAGAAGATTGCCAGCCACTTAAATTTGTTTGTTTGGTAGTAATAATAAATGTAAATAATAAGTAATAATAAATTGTTGTAGATTTTTCATCATATTTTAACTACATCATTTTTGTATTGTGTTATATGAAATTATAACTGGTAAATTAAAATGAATTTTAGACACAACTCAAAATTTTGCGTAATCTCTGGAATTGTTTGGAGTAGAGTTAGAGTTTGGAAATACTCTAACTTTTTTAGGGTATAGTTTAATTTAAAATTTTAACATTATAAACTCATGTTCCTACATGCGTCAATAAATTTTACTAAATTCTAAGAAAAAAATTCAGGTTGTGATGAGAAAGCCATAAGCCGTAGAAAATTATTTTTAAACCATGCTATAAAAATCGCACGTATGTATCTATTCAATTGTTAATTAAAAAATTGCACATATTTGTTGACAATTGATTTGTTGCTAAATATGATATATGTAAATTATATTAATAACGATAAATGGAAGCTACTTATTAAAATTGCAGACATGCCTTTTCTTGTTTTAAAATCACAGTTAATTGATAAGCAAAGTATGTCAGTATTAAAACATGACAATTTTAATTACAAGTGATAATTTTAATATATATATATATATATATATATAATACAGAAACCAATTTAACAATATAATTCCTCGTACACATTTTCCATATTAAGAAATCATGCACACAGAAATTTCTGTTATGATAAAATGTATGAATTGCGAATGCATTAAAGAACAGTAAAGTGTTAATTTATGTTTTATAAAAAATAGTGGCATTAATACCCAACATTTCTGCAAATTCCTATAATTAACAACCTTATATAAAACTTTAGAAAATATAATTTTGTAATATCGTATAGCAACTTGCAGAAATTAACTAATTAATAGTAGTAAAGTGTTAAAAGCAAAATCTAAATGAGTCAAAATTGATGTTAACATGCGTGTTTTTTCTATAGTATCAGAAAAATGTATTAGAAATTAGGTAAAAAACATCAAGATAGAACCCAGATAAAGTTGGAAACTCATAATAAATTTTAAGGGATAAATGAAGAGTTTCCAACATGAAAGCTACATTTCTGACAAATGATAATTACAGATGTTTAATTATGTACTTTAATTATATTTATATAGATACACAACAACATAGTTCAAACATGACTTGAAATATAAATGCCAAATTAAAGTACATACTTAACAAAATATAAGCATTTTCATAACCAACAATTATTGTTCTAGTTTTATAAAAACGCTTATTTTTAATTAAACTTTTTGATACAACAGATGATAGTTCTGTCTGCATTTCAGATTGTGTAATATGTTGAATTTTTTTAATATACCTGGAATTGTTGCATTGGGTAAGCGACAACACCGGCTGCTTGCGGCAAGGCGGCACCTTGGGCGATTTGCTGCGCCGTCGTGGGCAATTGGGCTTGGGCGGGAACTCCCTGCCAAGCTCCGGGAAGCTGAGCCATTCCCATACTAGGAAAAAAATTAAATAAGAATTTAGATTATCTAAAAAATACTTTATTATCATTTATCTTACCCCATATATCCTTGCTGGTATCCGGCGAATTGGCCATAGGCAGCGTATCCTTGCATTCCTTGCAAGAATTGTCCTTGGAGTTGGGCGGAAGGTGCAGGAGCAGCTGGGTAAGCAGCTGGCGCAGGTGGGTACCAGTAGCCTGCCACTTGTTGACCGTATGCTGCTCCGAATGGGAAGCCTGCTCCTGTCAGCGCCTGCAGGAGGAATAAAAAAATACTGTGTTAAAAACATTATAGTAATCTATGATAAACTATAAAAGTTACTTATGTAAAGAAGTGATTGAAGCAAAATTTCGTTTAGGTGATTTTTTCACCAAAGCTCAGATCGTCCAATTGAAGTAGATTACCAAAAGATAGACAACATTTATGCATAAAATTTGGCCTATTTCTACCTAAGTGTATATCAAATGCATCCAAAATTAAGTTGTCTACCGTCTAATTGTCTCCAAATAAGATTTAATTGATCTCTCTATCTCTGTATAACGCATAATATCTATCATGTATCTGTATAATGCCATAGCAAATCTCAGCATCAAATTCCATTGACAGAAGCGATAATTATCGACTTCGACGAGATAATCACTATAGAGAGACAGACAGGCTCACGATTCCGCAATCGAAACGCCGCCGGTAGGAATTTCGCCGAAGAATCCTCCCAGATATGCCTCTTGGAGGCAGCGCGTTTGATCTCGGAATCATGGCATTTGGGGCTTTGATGAGCCAAAACGCATACGAATATCGATATTAATACTATTTAAGTATACTACAACTCAACATGCGTATATCTAAGCAAACTGCTAAATGCTTAATAATAATCCACATACTCATCAGTATAATTACGAATAATAGTTCTTTCTCAATAACAGTTAAGAGTACAAGGATAAAATTACTAAAACTAAACTACAGAACTACTACTAGTTCATTTAACACACAAAACATAAATTTAAAGGTCAATACCATGTTATATATTATTAAATCATATCAAGTAAGACATTGCATAATAATGCAAAACTAATCATATTCAAATTAATTAAACGAAATATGTTTTATTTATTTGTTGAGAAATATAAAAAATAGAATAGATAAGTGATTACAAAGTGTTTCGTTCAGTATTTAAACAAAAAAATTAAATGATTTTCATAAGTTATGCAAATCGTCCAGTAATAATTTAGAAATTGAATACATAAGCCGTATAAGTAAAACGTATAAGTGTACTTCATGCTTGAAATTGCTTGATTACATTTACATTTAGTCTGTCTTTCATATCATTTTTTTTAAAAAAGACAAAGGCTCAAAGGCAGATAAAAATCATGTTGGTTATATTGTCAAAACATGGAAAAATTAACATATATTACTAACCAATTTTTAAATAGTATGAAATGATGTGGATATTAGTGATTAGTGATAATCAAGTAATAATTTGATATAAAATATGTTAAAAAAATATCTTAGATACTTCGTACAAAAACCACAATTATGTATCATTTTTAAGATAATATTATATGCTGGATATCAATATTCTACTACAAATATGTAATTGTGTATTGAAATATTATGATAATAAGAATAATGTCAAGTTAGTGAAAAGTATATTATAATTTAATATATTGCAGTTAAATTATATATGGCTAAAATTTAAAGCTCGAATAATTAAAAAATGCTTTTATGATCTATGAGTCTATTCCAATGGTGTCAAGCTACTATTCTACTGTGTCTCTAATGACCAACTCTGTTACAATTTGACCGAAATGTAATATAAAACAACAAAATATACTAAATATAATATAGAATAGAATAAAGTAAAATAAAATGGAACGCAATTACATGCCAGCCAACCAGAGTCTGGAAGAATTATGACTATTGATAAAGATCACTGAGAAATTTCATTACCGAATGTGCGTGCCTAGTTTTGTCGCAAAAGGGCGACGTGTCTGTATCCAGCATAGGCTCGGGGATGAGGCATCTCAACTATATGAAACAATTGCCAGGGATTAGAGAGACACACCTAACATCACATCACAAAACATCACATATCACAATATACGATATACGATATACGGCCACAATATTACACGAACAAAAGGGATCAAAACACAAGCAAATGAGAATTATTTGACAAAAAAAACTAAAATAAACTAGCTTGAATGTTTTTATCAATGTTGTTTTATGTTTTTATGTTTTAATCAATGAAGTAAACTAAAAGTGTGTATAAACAACCATTAAAGTAATGCTAAAAGTTCGAAAATGCGTGTCAAATTGTACAGATTAGTAATTTCATTCTAGACATAATCAGTTAAATATTTATATAAATGCTAACTAATTCATGCAATAATATATTTTCATTGAAATAATATAAAATGCTCTACAAGACTAAGAGTGCCCAAAAAATAAATAGAAAATTAATTGCATTATGATGTTTTTCATTAATGAAAATTGAAATTGAACGTGATGCAATATTAAAATTACTCATAAAATATTGCAAGATATTAAAATTTATATTTCAAGCCTAAACAAAATGTTTGAGAAAATAATATGAGATTGCATTACCTAATGTGTTATTGAGCTACTGTATATAGAGTCAAAGGCGCTTATGACAAAGAAATAATTAACTAGTCTCCTACAATGATTACAAAGAACAAAAAACATCATGAATCTACTAACAGATATCAAGCATATAAAAACCAAATAATTAGCTAAAATTAAATAAAAAAAAAATTTAAAAAAATTATTCACCTGTCCGGCGGCTGCAGCTGCATTATTAGGATCCCCAGATTCCTTTCCCCAAGAGCATTTCACAGGCTGAGCATTTATTTCTGAATTATGTACGGCGACGATTGCATGCGTTGCTGCTTCTTTTGTCGAAAATCTGAAAAAATAAATAAAAAATAAACTTCTCGTAATTGCTAACATATTGATGAGCAATTGCAGTATGTTAGGTATCATAAAATTTAAAAACGACTGAACCATTTTAGCTAGTTTTAACCCTGAAATTATTTTTGTAGCCCAGAGATTGTAGGAAAGGTGAGAAATCATTGAAAAACCGCGTAGAAACTATACATTATTGATTTAAAAATATTTTGTGAATGACAAGAATTATGAAAATTTTAAATATGTAAAGTGAAGGTGGCCGGCTTACGTGCCAATTGTCAAATATTTTTGACAAAGTTAGATTATGCTACTTAGGCTCAATGCTAGTAAAGTGTTTTTAATTTTATAATAAAAAGTTATTTTCAGTAAGAATTAAATTCTTGTTAAGATCAATTAGGAAGTGTCCTTTACCTCACAAATGCGTATCCTTTATCCTTGAACACGCGGATTTCTTGTATACTTCCGAAGGGAGCAAATGTCTTTTGCAGAAGTTCTTCGGAGAGACCTCCGGCGAGACCTCCGCCCAGGCCACCGCAATAAACTGTGCAATTCGTGGGCGAACTCTGATTGTACACCTCGTCGAAGGTTAGAGGTTTTGCATTTACTGAAAAGAAAAAAATTATAAATGATAAGAAAATGATGAATATATATTATTTACATTCTAGTAGTTAATATTATTTTATTTGTTGCCGATATATAAATTAGTATTACAATTCAAAAAATAAATTGGATTACAAGAAGAAGAAATCAAATATCAAAGTTATTGTAATTATTATTAAAATTAGATTTAAAAATATTTATAAATAAATTATTTCTCAATAAAAATATCAAAGCATTAGTAATATTAATATTATTTCAAATAATTCAATATTAATAATTAAGTTATTCTTTATTAAAATAAAGTAATAATAATACTGATTAAAATAGTCATTATTATTAGGAGAAATATTATTAATTATAATTGAAGTATATTAGTACCTAAAAAAGCTAATTTTATGATTTAGAAATATTAACTGCAATATACCTAAAACAATAATATCAAATATATTTTATTTACAATGATTTTTAGATTTTATGCTAGATTATTATTCTACTACATATAATATAAAAATGTATTTATGTACTAAAAAGTTATTGAGAATCATGATAAAAGAATAGGTCAAAATAAATAAATGTATTCAAAATTAGAGTGAATTATTTAATGAAACCACGACCATAAGGCATGGTTTTAAATATACAAATATATAAAAAATATGTAGAATATAAAAATATATAGAGAAATTAAATAAGTTTGTTATTTATATCACCCAATTGATATAAGAATATTGGTTTGAAATTGGTTGCACATTTTTGGTATATTTTCTTCATTAGAAATAAAGTATAACGTAAAGTATTTAATAGTAGACAAAAAATATAGACAATTTGTCTTTCTCTATATTTAGTATAATTTTAATATAAATTCACTCATTCTTAGTTTTCTATCATTTTTATTTTTTTAGTTTAATATTTCATTTAAATAATAATTTATATTTAAAAAAAATACGATTTGCTCCTCGAAAACAAACATGAGAACGATGGCTTGAACAATTTGAATGATTCTTAAAAAATTATAAATTTGTGGAAACTTGTGAATAAATTTTTAGTAAATAAATATTCTGAACTGTATGACATAACATGTCAAAATGAAATTAAAATTTAAGCTTGAAATATTCGATTTTCTCTAATCTATTTATTTCAAAATTATCAATCGATTATTATAATGAAAATTCTCATTACTCATTAATTTAGAAATAACCACAAAAATACTTCCGAGAAAATGATCAAATAATATGTACACACTTTGAATAATGTTAAAAATACTGATCTTTTATATATAAATACAAAAAGCATTCATAAATCCTATCTACTCAGAATATGAAACAATTTATTATTATATATAAAATACCATAGAAGTTAGTACATATATAAATAGAAAAAAACACAAATATGCCTATTATCTAAGAATATAATATTATTAGTAATGATATTAAAAATATGTTAAAATTATTATTTTTAATAATTTAAATAATTTATTATAAATAGCCAATATATAAAAATTGAAGGATTAACTATGTTATATATAATTTAAACAAAAATTTAAATTTAAAAAAACATTTAGGATTTAAAAGAGAGTCAAAAATAAAATTGAGGAAAAAACAAATTTGAAATATATCACACCATGCATTTACTTCAATATGTCGAGGTTTATATATTAGAAAAATGATTGAGCATAATACATAAAATCTTTTTAATTTAACATTAAAAACATTTAAAAATCAGCAAATAAT